AAAAAAAAAAAAAGTCGAAATCGAAAAATCCGCTTCCTACAAGAATTAGATAAATGGTGATTCTGTAAAATAAAATGATCAGAAAGTCTGTATGATTTTGGGGGGGGATTTTAAACAAATATTCTGCTTTGGTAAGTTTTTTTTTTTTTTTTTTTTTTTTTTTTTTTCAGAGATTTTTTGCTTTTTTGGCAATAATTCAAAAACTGTTCGGGCAGTTTTGAAAAAAAATTGACCAGAGAGATCAGGCTAGGGTGTAAATAAAAGGGTGTGAGTTTCATCAAAATCGGCAAGAAAAATGGAAAAATCATTAAAAAAATAAATAAATAACATGATCCCCTTAAATGTTGTGCTTCCAGATATAACTCATTCTCACTCATCATACTACATACATTATTCATTCACTTATACATAAATTGGCTCTTCACAGTTCCTATGTTCTTGGAACATAGAAACTGATAAATACATCACTGATGACAACTATTTCAGGAGCCATCAAAGAAGAGGAAGCCTCTTTCAGCCTTCAGTTTTCCAGTGGGCAGTGCCTTTCACCATGCATCTCGATCAGTCATTGATGGTATAATTGTTCCTTCTGAAACAAGGCAGGTCAGTGATGTAGACTTTATTTCAGAGTATGAAAGTTAATGAAAGTCTTTTTCCTTTTTCTCTGGAAAGTTTAAGTATTTTGACCTCAGTTTAATGATGGTTTTCACATTCTTTTCACAGGTTGTGGCCAAGTGTTTAAGAATTTGCCGTCAGCAGGAGAAGATGATCAACAACTCCAAAGATTTTCCAGTATTTAGATTATAAGCAAATTGTGATTGTAGTCTCCTTTCTTCCCAAAGAATTTATGTCAATAGCAAAAGTTACTTGTTTTTTCAGCATATGTGATAAGACAGTTGGCATTATTCAACATTTTGCTTATGTGTTTACCAACCACAGTCAAGGTGAAAATCAAAACAAGAGTTGAAAGCTTTCATGTATCTGGTATGGGAAGAGCCATGAAAATGTATTTCTTATGGGAGTTGGAAATGGACAAAATATTGTGGTTGACATCATACATTTAAGAAATAACTTAATGACAGGTGTAATTTTAAGTATTCCAACTTTAATTTTTCATTGCTGCTACAAGAGGAAATTAATTCCTGTAACCTGTAATGAGATCCAAGAAAAATGAAAAATAAAAAATAAAAAGATCTTATCACAGAGAAACAGATTATCTAGTTAGTCCAGATATGTTTATGATAATTGATGAAATATTTATATTTTGAAGAGAAGTATAACTATAACATTTTGTGCTGAACATTTGTCATTTCATTGTTCATAACTAAGAATAAGCATTTCAAAACAGGATTTTGTTCCATTTGGCATAAAGTGTTCATTATTCCATCCTTTCAAAATTTGGCATTTGAAGCATATTCTACACTAGATTGAAAGATAATTTAATGCAACATAATACCTGTATTTGTATCAGTATTTTTAAATGTTGGTGTCTAGATATTCAAATAGCTCTTCCAGAAGCAGTGTAATGATTTTATTATCATGATGAAACTGGAAATGTTAACTAAAATCTTAAAACAGTTCTCAGGTAGAAGATTATTTTTTGCTGATCTTTGTTTTTGCTGTGCCTTATGTGTGTGCTCATGTGTGCATAAATATACATACAGTCTCTAATCATGTATGTATATATTAATTGGTGATTAATTCATAACAAAATGTCTTAAGTTTTGTGGATCTTTAAATGTCTTATAAAGAATACATCATTTATGACCACAGAACAGTTGGCAGAAGCTGGAAGAGTTTCTGCTAAATATTGTGCCTTAGAAAAAATAGTTGGAAGAATTGGTAGTTCGTAATGTTCAATAAATCAGCAACTTATATCATTGTTCCCCAATTGAAAAAAAAAAAAACAATGTGGGGAAATGGAAGGTTTCATCAACAGGTGAGGTCATGGCTTCAGTAGAGAAAGATTATTTTCTTTGCTTTTTTAAACTTGTTCTTTTTCATTTTTTCACCCTTTTTTATGTACCAATTTTGTTATTCTGATTTTGCTTTTTCATCTTTGCTTTCTTGATTTTCTTTGTTTTGTTTTTTTTTCTCATTATTTTTTTGTTTGTCTTTCATCAGATCATATTGTCAACTAAATTAATTTTAGTCATGTCTAGCATTTGTGAAATGGATAGATAAATGCAGCTTAGGTTAAATATTAAAGTAAATTCCAAAGACAGCCCTTGGTGCAGTTAAGAAACACATAAATATACATACCTACATCCATCCATACATGACCCGCTCTGCCCATACCTACACCCATATCTTACCACACCTTTACCCATACCCACACACATCCACATGCACAAGCAACACCCATCCATTCTCATACCCCCACCCACATACACACACAATGGACCATCCACAACACCCAGTAACTCACACCCACTAAAACCTACACAGACCTACCCCCGGCACACATGTTTATTTAAAATACAGTGGTAGACAATGAATATTACAATACCAGTGGATCGACTGTGACAAAGGAAGATGTATACTAAATTTTAGCATAAATGCTTGTGATATAATAGACTGTCTTTGTTGTAGTGAATTATGGGTGTAAGATTTTATAGAAAAAATACAACAATGCAAATTTCAATCAATGCAATGAATAAGTACAAGTAAACAGATATGGTGCTACATGTTTTTAAACTTTTGTAGGATAGTTTTCTATTGTTTATGAAATATATAGTCTTGTTTTGATTACTGTTGAGTTTGAATTGAAGTAGAATTTGTATATTGGGTTTGGGTAAATGGATTACTATTCTGTAATATGTAAATTGAGAATAGCTCTAAGTAAATATTTTTAGACTACTCTTTTTGGATAATAATTAGTAATAAAGATATTAAAATCTATTGTCTGTATGATTATCCTTCGACAGCTTTGAGGTCAGAATTCAAACCATAGATCAGATGTGGACTGAGTCTGTCTTTATGAGATATGCAACTGACCCATCTCAATGGAGTGCTGCCTTGAAGTAACATTACATCACCTGCAGAACCCTGGATGTGGAGGAAATGCCCATTTAGATTCTCACTTGAACACCACCAGTTATTGTTTGTCCTTAATAAGTGTATGAGTGTTGATGTTATTATAGGTCTGTTATAGCAAAGGCAGATGAGAAGTTTTGCTTCCAATAACGTTGGAAGGAAGGCACAGCCCCGCATTTCTTGTTTCCTTTTCTTTCTCATAATATTCTTTCTCTACTCTCTTCCATCTTATTTTAATTATGAATATTGAATTAGCTATGGTCCCCAGTCCCCAGCAGGCTTTCAGTGTTTTTTTTTTATAACAGTTCTCTTCTCAAATTTATGTTCTTGCTTTTATGTGGAATTATTTTGTTGTGGGAAGTTGAATCTAATCCCAACCCTAACAATTCAAAGTATTGCAACTTATGTTTTAATAATATTTGTGGACTTTATAGGAATTTGATTGAAATTGCAATTATCTTGACTAAATTTAACATTATTTGTTGTGCTGAAACTCTGATCACAGACATGAGTGACACATCAGAGTTACTTTTACCAAATTTTGAAAAACTTTGTTGCTATGTAGTTCTTTGCCTCGAACCCAAGGTTTATGTTTATATTCTAAGCTTGGTTTTAATGCAATTTGTTTTATGATTTACGAATGTGGTTGTCATGAATGCATGGTTGTGAGTGTGTTGTCATTTTAATAATTTCTATATTTTTAGTCTTTATGGATGTCCCAGTCCCAATGACATTTATAATTGTTTACTGACTTCACGCATTTTCATTCATTAGAATGACAGGAAACTGTGCTTTAGTTTTAGAGGTGAATTTAATGAGCACCAAAAAGGCTGAGTTCAGTGTCTACATCTGATGGACGGCATTTCTGCCTTACACATCTCATGTATTTGGGAGTGAGCTGGTACAACTCACAGAAGTGGTAATCTTTTGGATCTTTTATTAACTGTAGAGTCCACCTTGCCAATTGCTTCTTCTGACCACAGCAGTCTACTTTGTAAGATCCAGCTAGACTTTCCAATATCAGATTTTACCTTAATTAGACAAGTCTTCAATGCTAGAATCAATGGGGATGATGTTTACCATGCTTTTGATTGCATTGTTTGGAGAGATGTTTATAATGCCCCTTGGCCTGTTAATGCTCTGAACTTGTTATTGCTGTACATTTTGATGAGAGTTGTACCCAGCAAAACTCTTAAATCTGATTCACATTAAGAAGTATGGTTTAATAAACAATGTCACCAGGTCTAGTGGGCCAATCATACTGCCTACAATCTCTGGTCCGCTAACCGCATTCGTCCTTGTCGCTAACCGCATTCGTCCTTGTCAACGTAGAGGTTGGGGTGTAGAGCAGGTAGAAATGAAAGTGGATCTTTGCTGAAGGGTTTATTGGGGAGGTAGATGGGAGACCCCACGAGACCAGTACCCTGGGTGCCGAGGGCGGAGCGGTGACGAGACCGTCGTCTGTCCCTGTCTCTCCCTGCTCTGCTATGCGTCTGCCTCTTGTCCTCCTGTCTGCTCTCACTGCCCGACGAGACGTCTTTTTATGCAGCTATTCCTTGTGAAGGCATTTGCTTGCTTAGGCCATGGAAGTGTCAAAAGAGAAAGAGTGAACACCTGCGTCAACTGAAGGAGGAAGGCAGCTGTCAGGGCCTAGGTGCAAACGAGGGAATCATCCGGCCTTGAGAAATATCGTTGACATCGCTCAGCCATGCAAAAGGCTCATCCTCAATATCATTTGCGCTGATGGCGCGTCTGGTGGCAAGGTCTGCTATGCTTCCACAGATGGTTGCTGGTGATCCATGGTCCCTAAGGTCACCGCATACCAGAATAGTGGTGTGGTGGAGGTGCAATATTCAGTAGCAAAGGGTCACATGTCTTCAGGGAGGCTGAAATATGTGTACCAGACCAGTAAAGGGCTAAGGATGATTAATGATAAGTTACTTGTCAATCTTACTAAAATGCTAGAAGATAGAGAGCGTAATAAGAACATTTGTCATGAGAAGGGTAACGTGTCACATGAAGTGTTAACTACCAGGATATGTTAGGATTGGCGAGTAGAATTATATTGTAGAGATAAATTTAATGAGCAAGAATTTCCATATGTTCGAGCTAAATAAGCAAGTAATTATACTTTGACATGTGTAGGCAGCTTGGCCTGAACAAAAAGTAAACCATGCGTATCTCGGGCATATGAATGTAAGTGTTAGTAAATGAAAACGTGTAGCGGCGGGCGCGATTCCAATTTTTTACGGCCATGAGCCAGCTGAAAATTAATTTGCGGGATAATAACTATATAGGCCTATATAAAGCATGATGTCTGCAGTGCATTACCCTTATTGCATCAGAATCGACTCCACCAGTTAGTTACATGTACATATCACCTATACCTTAAAAACTAAAGAAGCATAAATTCCAGCATTACTAAGGACAAGATATTGAATGGAGAGAAGACATCGTTAGAATCAGTTATAAAACATATGGCACTTAGTACAAGTGAAGAAGCCCTTATAGAGGCGGGTTACGGGTTGGAGCGGTATTTGACATGTGTGTGGATAAGCGCGGTAGCGCAGCATGTAAAGGAAAGTGATATTTCAAAAGAACACAACGATACGTTTTAAATCAAATAATGGAAATGAAGACACAATCAGTAACGAAGTAATTGCTAATCTATATACCATATAAGAGAGAAAAAACGAATACGTAAATTCGTAAACAACAACAAGAATGTTATAGACTGGGACAACCGAGTATTTACAGTAATTTAATAAATTGAATTGTGGTTATTTGCTCTGAGAAAAAAATAAACACTAAACCGTGCAATAAAGATATGATAGACTGAAAAACACAATAACACAACAATATTATATCAATTAAAGAATGGTAAAGGTAGGGGAATGGGGCGCGAGGTGAGTTTGTCCCGAGTAAGATATCAGTGACTTTGTTTTTTGTTTGTCTGATAAACAATGATTAATAGTGAGAAATTTTATAATAGAATTAGTAGTAGTGTATTCGTTAAAAAAGCGACTTATATGTAAGGGTCGGGCGGGTTTAGGTAGGGCTCTAGTTCATCTGGGACTGAAGAGGTACACTTACTGTAGTGGGAAGTATCGGTGGCGTAGGGTAGAAGTGCGACTTCATGGCTGTGCTGACGAGAGTTCATGCAGATTTGGCGAGGCAGGTGAGCTGGATTGGTAGGTTTGGCGGCGTAGAATACGAGGACTCATCTTCAGGGACTTCATCGGGAGGGTTGCACAAAGAGGGAAAGAGGGAACCATCCAGCCTTGAGCATATCATTGACAGTGTTTTTTTTTTTTTTTTTTTTTTTTTTTTTTTTTGCTATGCGAAATATGGCAACTAATGTTTATAAGGAGACCAAATCTGAATATAATGCCCATTTAAATGAAGTTCTTTCAGAAGCGTCACAGCCTCATAAATAATGGCAATGCTTCAAGAATCTCTGGGGTTGATTCCTCCATTTCTCTTTTTATATAGTCTGATGGTAGTGTTACACATGTTTCTATTGAGGAAGCTTACACATTACCATGGTTTAATTTCATTTGCTTTCAGGTCCTATGCAATCAAGTATCTGTTATCATAATAAATGAATATGGTGGAGTAGACCCTAATAAGAAGTGGCACAGCGCTCGGCTTTGCAATCGCATGGTCCTGGGTTCGAGCCTGGCTGCCCGTCTCAGTCGACTCAGCTGGGAATAAGCACTGATACACAGACGTCAGGATGCTGGGGTCAAAGTCGGGGCGGAAAGGAACTGACCACTCTACCACACCATCTTGCGGCTTAATAAACATTCTCTACGAACACGTCCCCCACGTCCACATGAATATGGAACCCATTTTGAACTGAGACCCCAATGGCTTGATGTTAAAAGACTAAATTGACTATAATCTTATGCGCTTTATTCGCAAGGTCATTTCAGAGTGCTACCACTTTGGTAATGTTACGCCNACATGCTGCCTACAATCTCTGGTCTGGCTAACCGTCGGACCGTCACTTGGTGGGAGAATATATGCACACTTGAAAGTTCTCTCAAAGCGTCGCAGCCTCATAAATACGTGTCAACATTAATAACACTCTGTTTGGTGTTGAATATCCCATTCCTCCTTTAATGAAGCCTGATGGTAGTGTCATACTATTCCGATTGATAAATTTACCTTGTTAATAGAATGTTTTAATCCAAAATTAAAATATTGAATTTCCTCTCTCATGTTATCTATAACCATGCTTTCATTTATCTGCTTTCAGGTCCTTTGAAATCAAATATCTGTTATTAGAATTAGACGAATATGGTGAGGTAGACGCTAATGGCTTGTTTCCATTGATTTTTAAAAGGACTAAATGGCCAATTACTCCAGAATTAGCCGTAAATTTAGGCGGTTTAGTTCGTAAAGGGTCATTTTCAGGGTGCTGCCGCTTGGGTAACCGTTACCTCTCTATCACAAGGGCCCACTGCAGCCTTCACCTACTGAATTACAAGGCCATCTTAATTACCCCAATTTATATAAGGTTTTTGAACGTTTTTTTGTCTATTTGAGGCCTGTTCTTTCCAGAGACTCGGCTGTAATGATGCATTGCTTATGTTGGGTCATGAAATGCAGTTCGCTTCAGAAAAAGGTCCTGAGTCAAGGTTTGTCTCTAGATTTTAGTGCAGTTTTTGACTCTGTTAATCACAAGTGTTGAGTTTCAGCTCAGTCTGTTGTTGGTGGTAAGATTTGAAATAATTCAACTGAATTTTTACTGGTAGGCGGCTTCCTCTTCAGCAACGTGTTTCATGTGAAGTTGTTGTGTCAAGTTTTCAGCTCGCATTTCCCCCGTATAGCTTTCCGGGGTGTCCTTCGGTAGGGTTGATCTTGGGTCTTTGCTCATTCATATTTTACACTATGTACTACTATATCGTGGCTCCTTGGCATTCTATAAATCAGATGAATTGGGATTATGCTGACGAATACTCTCTTTTTTATGCTTGAGAGTTCTCGCAGGACAACCATCCCAGTTCCGCAAAAAGTAGCTACTACAATATACATATACTGTATATATACCTACAGTTTCCCATATACTATCGTTATGTATATTTACACCATGTGCATATATTATATATATATACAACACACACACACACCACACACCACGACCCACACACACATTATATAAATATATATTATATATATACTTATTGGGTTATATTATACTACTTATATTATTATTCAACAGGCCAAACCACTATATTCAGTACACAGGCTTTATATCATGTGCTATTACGTGCATTTTATCAGGCGAGCCCTTATCACTTGCCCCCCTATAGACCGCGAGAGCAACTAATGAGGCTATTGGCTGCCTATCCCCCCTAAGACCGTGTATGCTGTTTGGGCGGTGACCGGTGCTGCTTCGTGGCGCGGGCGTGTGAGTGGCGGCAGAGGGCGAGGCGGCTTGGAGGGTGCAGCTCATCCAAGAGGGCGTCATGATCTCGGCGCCGAGGGAGGGTCCGCGGGAAGGTCCCTTTCTATAACGGGCGATGCAGGAGGGCTCATTCTCCTTAGGGCCACCCTCCGGTGCGGGCGGGAGGCCTCTAGGTCCAGGGTCGGTTGAGTGATGCCGATAGGTTGTCCTCTCGCTTTTTGTCAAACTATATGGTTCCATTCATAGAAGTATTGTTGCTTGTGTAATGAATCTTTACGTATGATGCCGTTCCAAAAGGCATTTTCTGTACTGTGATATGTAGCATCCTTACCAATTCTACATTTCTCTACAAAATATTTTTACGAATCAACTACTGATTGCTATAAAATGACGCACCAATCACCCACTGTCACGACCTGCCGGCGACGTAGGGCCTATATGGATCCCCTGCACATCAGCTTCTTCTCCTGTTCCCCCCGACACTCCTTCGGCCTTACTGGGCGACCCCTTGTCTGCGGAAAGGATGTGCCGTGGGCAGGAGCGACGTGCCCGGGACGGGTCTGAGGTGGCCGCCCTTCCCTGTGTCCCTCAGCTGAGCATGCGTGATTACGACGGGGAAAACAGCTGGTGGCCAGTTGCGAGTGAGGAACTGCTATCCCTTCCAGTGTCTATCACGGTCCAGCAAGGGTATGTCTGTGTTGCCTGTGTTTTTTCGTTGTCGCTCTCACTGTTTATTCGCTAATTATCGTGCATTAGTGTTGCGAATGATCGTATTGTTGGATCGATGTGACATGTTACTCAATGATTTTTTATTTACGGTCTTGCGTTGTTGCTGTATTTTAGTAGGTTTCTATTATTATCTTGTTTTGATGTTGATCTATTATTCGTCTGTTGTCTAATTATATTCCCTCTTGTTTCCAATTTAATCTGACATGTTGCTTTTCCCGTAGAATTTGCCCGATTATGTCTTTTGTCAAATTGCGACAGTAAGTAAGGTTCCCGTTCTCTGATTAATAGGCTACGACTTGAGTTCGATATAGTTCGAACAGAGTTGGGCCGCATAATCCACGCTTACCACGGGTATGGCAGTATACTGGCTCCGTCCTCAGTCTTGGTCAAGGGAGAGGCTTGCAACTTCACCTTAAATTCTGGACATTCGTCTCGTGGTTAGTAATTTAATAAATGGAAGGTCTTGAAGGGCAACAGATCAGTAAAAATACGGCAATAAAGACATGTATAAAAAAATAAAATAAAACGCATAAAAGAACATACTAACGTAAAAAATACAAAGTACAATCTTAATATATATATCTGCTAAGTTTTCGGTTCCTTTTAAGGTCTTTCCTGAGACTTGGTCACAACTATAGATACTTGACCGGCAGTTTTCCAAAAATAAATGGGTGAAAATTACGTATGGCAACAACCCATCGCGATAATTACAGGTGTGGCGAATGACGGTTTTTTGACAAACATTGGTTTGCAAGGGTACAAGCGAACACTAGATAACAAACACACAAAAAATATATATAGGTATGCTGTTGTGTTTCCTTTACTGTGAGTGTGTCTTATTAGATTTTAGTATGAGCGTTGCCTCGGATGTGTTCCTTCATATAGTTGAATAGGTGTTGTGAGGAACATGATGTGTTCTCAGTCTTTTTTTTGTTTTTTCTCATTTGGGCTTATACCTGTTATCTTAATTTGTGTTCTAGAAGCTGTGATTTTTAAATAACAATTGTGCAGCATTAAGTGCGAACTTCAAGCTGCTAAATAATTTTTTGTATTTGCGTTTTGGGTATCGTTTAGCTTTATTTATCAAATGTGATTTATTAGAATTGCTCTGCAGTTATCACACAGACATCACAGGCACTCACAGCACACACATCACACACACACACTACACACATCAGCAACCACCACACAACATAGCACACACAGCACAGCACACCAACACAGCAGACACACTTCACAGCCCGCCCACCAACCCAGTATATAAATAAGCCGCTAAGGTCTTTACACCGGATCACCTATACCAACCAACCAAAAAATAACCACCCCTTCCCCACCCCAACACCCAAGGTATTCCCCTCCGACATGCCGCGTGATGGTGTGGCTCCACGGGGGGGGCTTCCTCGTGGGGGGGTCAGAGGAGCAGTACCCCCATGCCCCTGCTCAAGAGGGACGTCGTGTTGGTCCCAAAGTTCCGCAGTACGCGCTGGCACCTTAGGTCAGGTCAAGTAGGCGTGGCCTCGGTAACCCCCTTGGCTTCCGGCTCGTACTGTAGTTGTGGTTGTTAGTTGGCTGTTAAGTAATAACTTGTTGTAATCTGGAAAAATGTCTATAAGTAATATAGAGCGTGGATTATATAACTTATGGTCGGAATTATAACGTAATGTAACACGTGGCTGATATAGTGCATGGTCATATAACATAAGATTTAAAGTTATCAGTTATTATAATAATTTTTTTTTGTATCTTTGTGACAATTATATCAACAATAATTCTGACCATTATCAAAATTATTGTGCAAATCATCGATGAGCCATTACATTATGTAGCAGTTAGCTTTCCACCAATGAATTATTACCAATTATTAAAATCATATCATTAAAAAAAAAAGAAAAAAAATAAATCATTATTACAAGATGTATATCATAAAGATAATTTTATCATAATTATTATCATTTTATTGTCATCCATAATACCATTATTACAATCATCATAAATAGTCATTGATTATAATTCAATTGATTCATTTACGGTCGTCATCATAAATATCCATTATTAAAATTATCATAAATATCTTTATTATAATTATCATGCACTTATTGTCATCAATACTCCCATTATTAACAATTGTCATCCATTAATTATCATCATAAACACCATTAATCAATTATTGATTACCATTGTCATCATTTAAATACCATTGATCATGTTATTAGCCATTATTATAAATCATAAGTACCATTATTTATCTATCATGAATACCCATATCATTTTACTTATTAACATTATTATCATCATTAGTATACCATTATTATCATCATAAATTACCATTATGCATTATGGTATTTTTCATTATTATGCATCATAAATACATTATCATTATTATTACATTATTGTCATCAAATACCATATCACTGTTATTGCCATTGTTACAATCAACAAGTAAATACCATTATCATTATTATTACCTTATTGTCATACAAATACCATCATCGCTGTTAATTACCATTAATACATATTATATCCATTATCATCATACAATACATTATTTATCATTAAATACCATCATTATTATCCATCATAAATACCATTATTATCATCATAAATACCATTATCACTGTTATTACCATTATTATCATCATAAATACCATTATCATTATTATTATCCATTATCATCACCATAAATACCATTATCGCTGTTATTGCCATTATTATCATCATAAATACCATTATCATTATTATTACCATTATTATCATCATAAATACCATTATCATTATTATTACCATTATTATCATCATAAATACCATTATCATATTATTACCATTATTATCATCATAAACCATTATCATTATTATTACCATTATCCCATTATCATATTATTACCATCATATAAATACCATTATCATTATTATTACCATTATTTCATCATACCATTATCCCATTATTCATCATAATTAATACCATTATTATCATCATAAATACCATTATCATTATTATTACCATTTTATCATCATAAATACCATTATCATATTATTACCATTATTATCATCATAATACCATTATCATTATTATTACCATTATTATCATCATAAATACCATTATCATTATTATTTCCATTATTATCATCATAAATACCATTATCATTATCATTACCATTATTGTTCAAATACCATTATCGCTGTTATTGCCATTATTATCATCATAAATACCATTATTATCATCATAAATACCATTATTATCATCATAAATACCATTATTATCATCATCCATTATTATCATCATAAATACCATATCATATATTACCATTATTCATCATAAATACCATTATCATTATTATTACCATTATCATCACATAAAATACCATTGCTGTTATTGCCATTTTATCATCATAAATACCATTATCATTATTATTACCATTATTATCATCATAAATACCATTATCATTATTATTACCATTATTATCATCATAAATATTATCCCATTATTATCATCATAAATATAATCATTATCACTGTTATTACCATTATCATCATCATAAATACCATTATCATGTTATTACCATTATTATCATCATAAATTCCATTATTATCATCATCCATTATCATTATTATTACCTTTATTATCATCATAAATACCATTATCATTATTATTACCATGTTATTACCATTATTATCATCATAAATACCATTATTATCACCATAAATACCATTATCGCTGTTATTGCCATTATCCTTCCCATCAACACCATCCACATCCTCCACCTCCTCCTCCTCTCCTCCTGCAGGATTCCTCTCCACGGAAGACGAGGCGCTGCCGGGGAACCTCGGCCTCAAGGACCAGACGCTGGCCCTCGCTGGGTCAAGGAGAACATCCGTGCCCTCGGCGGCGACCCCTTCCGCGTGACCTTGTTCGGGCAGGGGGCGGGGGCGGCGGCGGCGCACCTGCAGGTCCTCAGTCCACAGGCCGCTGGTCAGTTTAACGGGGTCGAGTTCCTTTGGTTGTGTGTAGTTGGGATCCTCGCGAATTTTGTTTTGCAAATGTTTTTTTGAAAAAATCGTTTCTTTTGCATGTTTTTCATTTCTTTTCGTTCAGTTAGGATTGTTCAACTGAATTTTTTTGCAGTTGTAAGGTCATTTCTTTTCGTACAGTTAGGATTGTTCAACTGAATTTCGTATTGTATATGTGCATTTATTATTTTTTATCTGGTTTTGTACACTTAGGATTGTTCAATCGAATTTTGTTTTGCAATTGTACGGTCATTTCTTTTCGTTCTGTACATTAGGATTGTTCAACATAATTTCGTATTGCATATGTGCATTTATTTTTTATCTGGTTCTGTACACTTAGGATTGTTCAATAGAATTTCGTATTGCAAATGTACATTTTTTTTTCTTTTTCTGTACACAGGATTGTTCAACTGAATTTCGTATTGCGTATGTACATTTATTTTATTTCTGGTTCTGTACACTTAGGATTGTTCAACTGAATTTCGTATTGCATATATACATTTTTTTCCTGGTTCTGCGCATTAATTCTGTGCATTAAGATTGTTCAACATAATTTCGTATTGCATATATACTTTTATTTATTTTTTCTGGTTCTGTACATTTTCTGGTTCTGTACATTCTGTATATTGTTCAATCGAATTTCGTATTGCAAATGTACATTTTTTTCTGGTTCTGTACACAGGATTGTTCAACCAAATTTCGTATTGCATAAGTACATTATTTTTTTCTGGATCTGTACACTTAGGATTGTTCAACCAAATTTCGTATTGAATATGTACATTTCCTCTCACTCTGTACACCTAACCTTGCATATTACAAATGTACATACATTTCCTCTCATTCTGTACAGCTAGTCTTGTTCAGCCGAACTTCGTATCGCAATCGTGCACTTATTTCCTCTCGTTCATCACCCCTAACCTTGTTCAACCGAATCACGCCTGACAATTGTACATCATATTCGACTCATCCTGAACACACCTCCCTTTGTTCACCCGAACATCGCCCCGCCATTGTGCACTCATCCCCCCCCTCGTTCTGTTCACATAGGCCTGTTCAGCCGTGTCATTCTCCAGTCCGGCAACGCCCTCAGTCCGTGGGCGTTGAGGTGCGACCACAGAAAGAATGCAGCTGTGGTGGGCGCGGCGTTCGGGTGTGCGGGCGTGGACTCGTCTTCACCAGCTGATTTGAACAGCACTGCGCTCCTGGACTGTCTTCGGGAGCTGCCTTTTGAACAGCTGGCCGTCATCCCGTCGGTTTTTGTGGTGAAGATTTAACTGTTTTTTTAATTATTATGATGATTTGCCGGTTATCGTTACTTATTTGCCGTAATTATTATCAGCATTTTTACTATGATTTGCCGTTCTTGTTATCATTATTATAATAATATGCTGTTTATCTAATATTCTTTATTATAATTGTTTTTATCTTCATTTTAGTATGATTATCTTAATCATTATGATTATCTTAATTATTATGATTATCTTCATTTTCATTATGATTGTTATATATATCACCATTAACACATTCATTATCATTCTTACTGTTACCATCTCTACTTTTTGTTATCATAATCCTTGTTGCATTTTATGATCATTATTATATCTCTTATCTTTAGCAGCTGCTAATAACAAGACTAATACAATTTCTATAACTACACGACTATATATTTTAGGTGCAAGTACGTGCTAACCGGAATTTAAGGGTTAGATTAAGGGTCAAGATACCATACATAAGGTCATTTGGATAACGTCTAATTCGCACAATCTGTCAAATCTGTTTCGAATTCGGTTTCGGACACCCAAATGAGGTGACTCTGTTTATTTAGATTCGGAGCGTTTCGAAGCTTCATTCACGACTTGACTTATCCTTTTCTCTTTCTTTTTATAGGGTTTTATACTATACTATGTGACTTTTATCCGTGATTGTTCTTACATGTAGAGGGAGACTCACAGAGGACAAGGAAAGACACAGAGACAGAATCACACAAACACCCACACAAAACTTTCTCTCACATACAGACACACTCAAACATAAACCCACTTTTTCTCACATCCATACACACGTACACACCCACATACACACTTTTTCTCACACACGCACACACCCACATACACACTTTTTCTCACACACGCACACACACACACCACATACACACTTTTTCTCACACCACACATACGCACACACCCACATACACACTTTTTCTCACACACGCACACGCACACACCACATACACACTTTTTCTCTCTCACACACACACGCACACACCCACATACACACTTTTTCTCACACACGCACACACACACACCCACATACACACACACACACATACACACACCCATACACACTTTTTCTCTCTCTCACACACACATGTACACACCCACATACACACTTTTTCTCAACACGCACACGCAACACCCACATACACACTTTTTCTCACACACGCACGCGCACACCCCACATGCACACTTTTTCTCTCTCTCACACACACGTACACACCCACATACACACTTTATCTCACACGTACACACCCACATACACACACACCCACATACACACTTTCTCACACACACACGCGTACACACCCCCATACACACATTTACTCCCACATACCTACATCCCCTCCACAGACACGTACTCAAACAAGCACATCCACGCTCTAACAACACATACCTTACAAACAAACAACAAACAATGCACGTGTTCGCAGACATGGCTCAACGCCCCCCAGGTGATGACCCCGCGCGTGGACGGCAGCTTCTTGCCCGCCCACCCCGCCTTGCTCTTGAGGGATGGCCGCTTTAACAGGGTCAGCCTTATATCGGGGGTCAACCAAGAAGGAGCTTTGCCCGCCCTCGGTAGGTTTTTTTTTTTTTTTTTTTTTTTTTTTTTTTTTTTGTTTTTTTGTGTGTTGTTCTGATGGTCTTTTCTTTTATGTTTTTTTTTTGTTTTTTTTTTGCTTGATTTTTTGTGTTTGTTCTGATGGTCTTTTCTTTGTTATGTTTGGTTTGGGTTCTTTTTCTTTTTTTTTTGTTATCTCGTGTCTAGTTATGTCTCATTTTCATATGGTTTCTCTTTATTCTCTCCTCTTTCGCTCTCGCTTGTGTCTCTGTCAGGCTGCTCCCCCCCTCTCCCTCTCTTTTTCTCTGTCTGTCTCTGTCTGTCTCTCTTTCTCTTCTCTCTCTCTTCTCTCTCTCTCTCTCTCTCTCTCTCTCTCTCTCTCTCTCCTCTCTCTCTCTCTCTCTCTCTCTCTCTTCTCTCTCTCTCTCTCTCCTCCCTCCCCTCCCTCCCTCCGTACCCCCTTTCCCTCTTCTCAAAATCCGACAAATTTAACCACAACGCCTTACGAAAACACCCGAAAAAGGGAAACAAAAACTAACACAAAACCTAACTTCTTCGACCTGGTTTCCGCGTCCCCTTATCAGCCACACTCGAGACGCCCTTCCTGAAGAAGGCGCTGACGGAGAGGTTCCCGGAGGTGGGTCCGGTCATCCTGAACGTGCAGGAGGAGAAGAACGCCGTCCTCTTGGCTCGCCAGGCCTTCAGCGCCTACCTGCCGCAGTATAGGGTGAATGAGGACACTGTTGGGGATTTTGCCAAGGTTTGTAGGCCTATCTCTCTCTGTTTATCGTTTTGGTTTTATATTTTCTTTTTGTTTAGTTTTTATTCTTGTCTTTTTTTTAAATGGTGATAGTCAATGTTGCCTATCTCTGTTTATCGTTTTGGTTTTATATTTCAATTTTTTATTTTTTTTATTCTGGTCATAATGGTGATAGTCAATATTCAACGTATTGGTGAATATATTAGGAAATTGTGGTATGTAGTACATTATAGCATTGCTTTAAATAGGTTTACATTCTTGATAGATTTCCTATAGAAAAATATACTACAAACTATATCTTTGCCAGATGTCTCACTGAACTTCATTCAACCGTATCTCCCTTTCCATTAAAAGAAAAAGTAAAAACGATCTTGCCAAACTGACGAAAAAACAAACCAAAAAAAATTATCCTCGTTTTACCCTTTTTCTCTCGTAGCTTACGAAAAAAAAATCCTTTTTCTCGTAGCGTAGCTTACAAAAAAAATCCTTTTTCTCTCGTAGCTTACAAAAAAAAAAAAAAAAAAAAAAAAAAAAAAATCTTGTCGTTATAACCCTTTTTTCTCGTAGCTCTTGGGTGACGAAGCGTTCCGAATCCCGCATCGAGAAGTGGTTCGGCTTCACAGCATGGCCGGGGGTCTCGTGTTCGCCTACGAGCTGAAGCACCGAGGCCTCCAGAGTCTCACGGACATCTTCAACACGTCCGCCGGGGATTCGTGTGAGTAGAGGCTTCCTTCGTCTGGTGGGTGCCGTACTTTTTGTTTTTTTTTTCTTCTTCTTCTTTTTTTTTTTTCGTTCCGTTAGTCCTCCGTTTTTTTTTTTTTTTTTTTTTTTTTTTTTTTTTTTTTTTTTTTTTTTTTCCGTTAGTCCTCCGTTTTGTCTCGTTCCGTTGGGGTTCGTTTAATGGTGGTGTTCGTTTGACAATATTAAGGGAATAGTATTAGTTCTACAGTCTTCAATTAGAAGGAAAATTTTACATTTATCGAACAGAATGAACGAAAATAAGAAACTTCTATGGTTTTATCTCCATAACTTAATAATAACAAAGTTATGAGGTATGTAAGACAGAAAAAAATCTCAATATTTAAAAAAATCGCCACTCGATATCAATAATTGTAAACAAATAAGTGCGCAAAACGATCGTCATTTCTTAAGCGATGGCCAGCAGGGGGCAAATGTGTCGCGCGGGAGATTTAAACCGCCATAAAATGACGGCCAGCAGGGGGAATAAGTGTCGCGCGGGAGTTTCAAATTTCAAGTAATGCCACTAATGGACACTTTTTTTTTTGCTTCTAATATCCACGATCGCAGCGATGGACTTCCTTTTTAAAATAAACACACGCTACCATTTGCGCAACAGGTAAGTTTCACCACAGTCCATTTAAGTAAAAGATTCCGCCATTTGGTTAAAATCTATGTCATATGAGTACACTTTCGCCACATGTGATCATATGTTTACATTATTTTAATTTTTTGTGTAATGCGAAGTTTAATGCGTGTTTCAAGGAACTGTGCATTTTATAGGAAAGTTGAGCAACGACCAATATCCGTAACAGAGACTAAGCTTAAGAGAGAAAACAGTTGACCTGATATTTAATGATTGCTGTTAGAAAGGTTGTTAAATAAACACGGTGATGAATGTTTTGGGTTAGTTGAGAGAGGAGAGAGAGAGAGAGAGGAGAGAGGAGAGAAGAGGAGGAGAGAGAGAGAGAGAGAGAGAGAGAGAGAGAGAGAGAGAGAGCGAGAGAAGAGAGAGAGAGAGAGAGAGAGAGAGAGAGAGTGAGAGAGAGAGGAGAGAGGGAGAGAGAGAGAGAGAGAGAGAGAGGAGAGAGAGAGAGAGGCGAGAGCGAGAGAGCGAGAGCGAGAGCGAGAGCGAGGCGAGAGCGAGAGCGAGAGAGAGCGAGAGCGAGAGCGAGAGCGAGAGGAGAGAGAGAGAGAGAGATTACTTATTAAGTGAATAACGCGCGCGCGACCATACTTCTGGATTCACGGGACAGCGATGTTGACGTGGCCGAACATCAGGTCGAAATGATGGCATGTGTAGACCAAAACCCTTATATACAATTTAATAAATAAACCTTAAGTGTAATACGTCACCCATCATGGACGCTAAGACATGAGACATCCCCTGAAAGAGTGAAAACCGCTCTGTACAGTATTGCCACAGGCGTGTCCCTGCTGGTGCATAAATAGCATAGTCACTCCACAATGTACGTAGTTTCTTTAGTGAAAAATACTTGGACACTTTATAACCCCCCCCCCTCCTCAAGCGCCGGTTTAGTGGAAAAACTACAAGTGGCGAGACATTACTTATTCGACACTGAATTCCACAAGTTACTTTGCGGGGAAAGTGTAACACGAAAAAGCAGGGCAGACATGAAGTGTGAGGGGTGTTGTTGGGTTATTTCGACTTTATCAAGATTCCATAAGTCATTTAGGGCAGTGTTGTCCGAACATTTCGCCAATTGTTTCCTTTAGTACCTTGTGCTGTTACGTACCCCCCCCCCCCGTCCACCTTGCTAAACAATTTTATTTAGGTTAATGCTAATAATATTATTTATGAAAAGATTGCATTGCATGAGTGTTTGGTCATTATACTCGAATTTAATATACGAATAAAAAAGATGATTCATAGAAGTGTGTGCGTGTGTGCGTGTGTGTGTTTGTGCGTGTGCGTGTGCGCGTGTGTGTGTTTTGTGCGTGTGCGTGTACGTGTGCGTGCGTGTTGTCCTTGTTTGTTCACATACCCTTATGATCTATGTTGCCGACCCCAGTTGGACAACATTGATTTAGAGCGTGTGCGGATGCGTGCGTATTGTCTTCCGGGCGTCATTAAGAGCCAAATCCCCGCCATAGATGCACGTGGCTACCGACAACCATTCCTTTTGATGGTCGCGAAGCCAAACTTCCGTAGCAATTGCATGCTTTCGCACATTCAGGCTTGATTTGAAGACGTGTATCTTTCATAACGTAAATATTTTCGGCAGATTTGCATTCAGTGTACTGTTGAAATGCCCTCGAAGTTATTGAAATGCCCCTCGAGTTCCATTAAATGTTGGTGATTTTAGAAGTGTCAACGTGGCGGAGAAGAGAAGATTAAATATGGTTAGTTACCCCAGAATTGAGTTTTCTGTAAATATTTTGCGATTCGCTGGAAGTAGCAAGGCCTATACTTTTGGGAACAAAACAAGTTTATTTAGGTTTAATGAACCTCAACAGAGAATAACGACATGTACAGTATTGCTTTTATTTATCTTTAAATGACGGTGAAAAAAAGAAATATACGTAACGACAAATGGCTCGAGCTATTATGTTACATAGCTTACAGGTTGATAAGTACATAGCTATTTTTTCAAATTTTCACGCATTTACTAGATTTTGGACGACCTAATTATTAAACAGATAACGAAATAATCTTACTACAAGTGTGAAACGTGGCTCTCGCCCCGTAGAGTTTAACACGAAGCGTTGATAACATTTCTTACGATATATATTTCTCTTGTTGTTAATCTCCCACATTCGTTCGTCGTACATATGGAACCGAAGCTAAATTCCTTAAACATTTTTTTAGCAGCTTGTTCCGAAACTCGAAAACATTTTTTCCTGAACCGATCATATGCGATGGAAATAAATTCACACATACTACAGATTTAATCATCGGATTCAAAGAAAATGTTTGCGAGGTGGGACGGCTGTGTGAAACTAAAAAAAAAAAAAAAAAAAAACACCTCTGTCTTCATCCATATTTATGAAATATTCTCATAAATGATTTATCTTTTTTACTCTTCATCTTACGACGAAATCTTACATAAGGCAACATCAATTTTATTTGCTGCTTCTCGGATTCGCCGCTTCAGTGTTTACCATAAAAAAAGAAAGAAAAAAAACAACAACAACAAACAAAATAAAAGCTAAACCAGAAACCACTTCCGGTTTTACACGAAGAAGAATTTGTTACTGCTTTAGAAATATGACAATACAGCAGTAATACTCCAATAATATCGAGTATTTACAGTAACAAATATTTCACTGCGCATTTCCAAAATGACGTAATGCAAGTGTGCGTTTCTCTTGGTGCTTTTCATGCATTTTATTGTCCATCGAAAAACTTGCGATTTGTTAATTACGGTTAATCCGCTGAATGAAATATTTGTAACGAATCGCATGGCACCGGGTGTGTTATAGCTGTGTGTAGCCAATTTGATAACTAATCGAAAATGGAGACCAGATAACAGACGTCGTATGTATGTGTTGCCACTCGATATCATTGCATTACTCTCTTTATTTCGCATTCAGACAATTTAACTTGTGTTTCATTTTTTAAAGGAGTCCATCACTTACATAGTAATGTCACTGTATCGCAAAATCTACATTCGTAGGATTATGGTGATAATTGGCTGCCTCGCCATTGTGTTAAGGGTAACGGTATTTTTTTCCTAATTGTACACATGTACGCGTGTGTTCTTATTTGTGTATATATGTATACATGTATGTACAGATATAATGTGTGCAGATATATGTGCATATATATGTGTACGTATGCATTATTCCTATAAATAACCAACTAAAAATAAAAAAATTTGACGACCTCTGCCACCTACAGGGGTGAGCAACGGCGACGACCTCCAGTACCTGTTCAACGGCACGACCTTCCCGCCCCTGAAGAACCTGGACGACCGGCGCCTCAGTGACCTCATGGTGATCATGTGGACGAACTTCGCGGCCACGAGGTAAGGCTACGCGAGGATGTCGACTTGGGTCGTTGCAGGAATTTCCTTTCTGGTGGGAGGGAGACTGTGTGTGTGTGTGTGTGTGTGTGTGTGTGTGTGTGTGTGTGTGCGTGTGTGTGTGTGTGTGTGGTGTGTGTGGTGTGTGTGTGTGTGTGTTGTGTGTGTGTGTGTGTGTGTTGTGTGTTGTGTGTGTAGTGTGGGAAGGAGAGAGAGACAGAGAGGAGAGTAAAAGGGATGGAAGGGAGAATGGAGAGTGAAAAAATTAGATTAAGCAGGAAAAGAGTGCAGAAGAGAGGGGGACGAGTAGGTAGAAGGAAAAGAACAAAAAGAGTAAGAGAGAGATAGAAATAAGAAAAAATATGTGCATGCATATATATATATATATATATATATATATATATATATATATATATATATGTGTTGTGTGTGTGTGTGTGTGTGTGTGGTGTGTGTGTGTGTGTGTGTCTGTATGAATATATACCTATATCTGTCTGTTTATCTGTTTATCTATCTATATTCTGTCTGTCTATCTGTCTATCCATCTATCTATTGATACAAAGCCGCCTTCCGCTTCCCTGGCCAGGTACCCAACACCCGACTCCTCCCTTGGCTTCTGGTGGACTCCTGTGGGTTTTTCCTCTCCCATGCACTACCTCTGCCTCACGCCCACGCCCACGATGGCCTGGGATGGGCGTAGTCCGGTGAGTATTGGTGGCCAGACTCTTTAAGTGTTTAATGAGTAAGGGACGTAATGGAAACCGTCTCGTTTCTTTTGTTCTGTCTGCTCGAAAGAAAAAGAAAGAAAGAAAAAAACTTTTTTTTCGGAATGGGGATTACATTTAGAAGTTATTTTTTTATGTCTTTGCTTTTCTTGATTTCATATGATTGTGATTTCCGTGAATCACAAGCCGTATCGTTATTATTATTATTATTTTATTTTTATTTTTAAAGAATGTTCCAATGTTATTTTGTAATAAAAGTTCAGCTCTATTATTGTGTTGTAGCTTTCTCGGAAGCTAAGCCAAAGAGAGAAAGAGGGAAAGAATGAGAATGAGAATGAAAGAGAAGAGAAAGCGAGAAACTTACTTTCCCTCTGTTTTACTTCCTCTCACAACTCAGTCTTTCCTCGCACATAAACTCTCCCCCCATTTTCCATTCTTTCTCTCCCCTCCCCCCACACACACACAACTCATCTTTCCTCGCTCATAAACATATTATCTATTCTTTCTCTCTCCCCTTTAGATGTACGAGTTCTGGACGAGCCTCCCCACCTTCCAGAACCGCGTCCTCCACCCCAGCACTTCGCTCGCTCGCCCTGGGGATTCGGACGCCCGCTGTCCACGGAGCGACCGCACGCCTGGCCAACCGGTCCCTTTCCCCGCCACCGGTTCGGACGCCCGGCGGTGAGGGGAGGGGGGGTAGGGTAGTGGGAATTGGGAGTTGGGAATGGATTGGGAGGAGAGGGGGGGAGGTGGGAATTGGGGAGTTGGGAATGGGATGGGGAGGAGGAGGGGGGACGGGTAGGTACGAGAGAGGAGAAAGAGGAGAGAATGAGATGAGGGATGAGGAATGAGGATGAGGGGTGAGCTATTAGTGGGTGTTTAAACTGTATTGCACGGCTATATTGTATATGTATCCAATGTATCTAATGTGTCTACTTGTCTGTTTGGGAGACAGGAGGAATAAAAGGGTTGGGGGGGGGAGGGGCAAATTGTGTGGACAAGGAAATGGTACAATTTATATATTTATGTATAGATGTTTGAATCTACAACTGGGATCGAATCTGAATTAGAGGTGTACATGTCTGGCTTAGGCTTGATGCAGTCTATGAGTTACATGCATATGCACGCACGCACGCACACACAACACACACACACACACACACACACAACACACACACACACACACACACACACACACACACACAACACACACACACACACACACACAAATGTAATATACATTGTGTGTGTATAAACAAACAGTAACACGTACACAGAGATAGAGCAACACCTCCAGAATATTTGCTATGAAAGAACATGCCGTTTCGAGCTCGCCAGGAGTTCCTCATCAGACGTACGTCATTTGGCCAGTAATTTTATAGTTCTAGAACATGCACTTCGTTTTCTAGTTGTAGATGTCGCCGCATACGTAATGTCATTCGTTGCGCAAAATTAGATATTGATGTAACTTAAGAGTACCATGAGAAATTACTCTTGATTACATGGAGAAGTTTCTCTGATTACTAGAGAAATTACTATTGATTATATAGAAGTTAGATTATAGAGGAGTTACTCTGGATTACATAGAGAAGTTAATTATTCAGAGAAGTTATTCTTGATTACACAGAAATTATTATATAGAGAAGTTACTCTCATTATTCAGAGAAGTTAGTCTTGATTGCATAGAGACGTTACTCTCATTCACAGAAGTTACTCTTGCTTTTTCAGTCTTTTTCACTGATCTTCCCTCGAGATTCACTTCCTCAATGACCTTTTTTTTTTAAACTTTTTTTTTTACTTTGTAAACTTTGCTCGCATAGCTCGTGGTGTAAAATTTCACCCACTGTCTTAAGCATTTTTGATCTTTGAAACCGAATCTTTGCCACTAAATCCAGGACTGAAAAATATATTATAGTAAAGATCTGGAATGATTATTGCGTACAAAGTAAATACTTGAAATTTCTGCGGACTTTAAGGTGCAGTGATAGATTCCATTCTTGATTTGTTCGGTAGTATGGCTCGACGCTAGATATAGAATATGTCCCCAAAGCATATCTCCTACGTAATAACAGGGTATATAAAAACCTACAGTCCAACTCTTACTCCATTGTTATTGAATGATTCCGTAAAACCGAAACTCCATGCTGCCAAGATCCAGAACCCAATTCCTTGATCGTTTGCAAGGCCATAATTACCTTTAATCGTATTTCTTTGTCATTCTGAAAACTTTAGAGCGNTGTGTGTATAAACAAACAGTAACACGTACACAGAGATAGAGCAACACCCAGAATATTTGACATGAAAGAACATGCCGTTTCGAGCTCGCCAGGAGTTCCTCATCAGACGTACGTCATTTGGCCAGTAATTTTATAGTTCTAGAACATGCACTTCGTTTTCTAGTTGTGGATGTCGCCGCATACGTTGATATCATTCGTTGCGCAGAATTAGATATTGATGTAACTTAAGAGTACCGTGAGAAATTACTCTTGATTACATAGAGTTTCTCTGATTACTAGAAATTACTCTTGATTATATAGAGAAGTTACTCTCATTATTCAGAGGAGTTATTCTTGATTATATAGATAAGTAACTCTGAATTACATAGAGAAGTTACTCTTGATTACTTAGAAAGGTTACTCTTAATCACATAGAGAAGTTACTCTCATTATTCAGAGAAGTTATTGATTGCATAGAGAAGTTACTCTGATTCAGAGAAGTTACTCTTTTTCACTGATCTTCCCTCGAGATTCACTTCCTCAATGACCTTAGTAAACTTTGCTCGCATAGCTCGTGGTGTAAATTTTCACCCACTGTCTTAAGTACTTTTGCTCTTTGAAACCGAATCATTGCCACCAAATCCAGGACTGAAAAATATATTATAGTAAAGATCTGGAATGATTTATTGCGTACAAAATAAATGCTTGAAATTTCTGCGGACTTTAAGGTGTCATGATAGATTCCATTCTTGATTTGTTCGGTAGTATGGCTCGACGCTAGATATAGAATATGTCCCAGCATATCCTACGTAATAACAGGATATATAAAAAACTACAGTCCAACTCTTACTCCATTGTTATTGAATGGTTCCGTAAAAACCCGAAACTCCATGCTGCAAAGATGTCCAGAACCCGAATTCCTTGATCGTTGCAAGGCCATAAATCCTTTAATCCGTATTTCTTTGTCATTCTGAAAACTCAAATAGAGCGTTTTAGACTCATTAGCTTCTTGATTTGCTAGCAGTATCATATCCTCCAACAACTGTCCTCTGTAGGTATATGCTAAACGTGGGAGTCTTTAGTCTTCTTTTTCCAAACGCACTTTTCGAGTCAAAAATTGCTTCTTCACTTCTCTTATCCTCAGATCGAAGGCGTCCCACAAGGCAGTGTTCTCAGCACTACCTTGTTTCTTACAGCTGTGAACGATAGTATATCAGTATTACCACCAGGGACCCGATCATCACTTTACATTGATCACTTAATTATCTATGCCTCCGGTCCATCCATACACACTCTCTAACAACTCCTTCAGTCAGCAATATTATCGGACACACACACACACACACACACACACACACACACACACACACACACACACACACACACCACACACACACACACACACACACACACACACACCACTAATGGCTTTCGTTTCTCCACCACCAAATCCTTTTCTATCCTCTCACACAAACGCGTAAAACCCCAACCTCCTCTCTTTTATGGCACTCCACTACAATACCGGCCTTCTGGAAAGTTCCTTGGAGTAATTTTCGACTCCAAACTATCCTGGCGAGACCAAATCCTTTCCATTAAAGAAAAACTCAACACCGCTTCGAATCCTATAAACTCTATCCACATATCATGGGATAAGACTCTCCATCTTCATACAAACTTGATCCTCTCCACTCTTGATTATGGAGGCCATATATACCCATCTGCCAACCACACTTCTTAATCCTCTAGATACAATTCACCATCGTGGTCTCCGCTTAGCCAGTTGAGAGCCAAATTATCCATTCCTCAATCTCTAATCCCCACCTTTACCTCATCTCCCCATTTACCAACTCCTTTCACCATCCGTATGAATACTCTCCCATTCCCCCTTTCCAATTCTCCAACCTCTCCCCTTCTCTGTCCATTCCGTTCCTCCACATTTGCTTCTCTGTGTTTTCTGACCCACCAAAGTCAGATATACATCTGTTCTCACCCTCTTTCTTAACCATTTTCCTATTCATTCCTCTAGTATACGTTGACACTGATGGTTCCAAAACCACATCTAGAGTAGGTTTTCCAGTTATCTTCCCAACCTACATATTCAAATATCTCGCTACCTCCTGAATCTAGTGTTCTCACTATTGAATTACATGCAATCCTTTTCGCCTTAAACCATATATATTCTCTCTCTCTTCCTCTTTCACTATTTTTTTTACTGGCTCGAAACTCACCAGCTCTCAAAGTCCATACACTTAACCAACCCCCTTGTCAGCAACATTCAGGACTGGTCGTTTTACCTGTAAACACGATATAAATTTTCATTGTACCGACTCGTGCCACAAACTCAAATTTACTTTTATTTTGCTTTTAATCATGAACCATTACCGAGTAGTTTGCCTGCCTCCACCCGTGCCCGCCGATCTCGCCCGCTCGTTCGGACAGGTCTTTAAAGGCAAGGTCTACTATATAAGTATAGACCTTGTTTAAAGGTACGTTTTGCATGGAGCAATCATGTTTATCGCTTTACGATGATCGTTCAACAATTATTGCTGTCGGATACAAGAGGGTGTAATATTTTCTTCGAGTGTCTGTCTCTTCGATTTTCGACGAAATACCTTTTAAATTTTTGTTTTCTTTTTAACCAGTGGCGTGTTTTCGACGAAATATCTTTTTATTTTTTGTTTTCTTTTTAACCAGTGGCGTGGCGGAAATGCCCCATGAAGGTAGTGTCGCGAGGAAATGGCATTAAGCTGACTGAATAAAAGGTTCATCAATTATCTTTTAGCAGAACAGATGGAAAGATGAAGTACTTTTTTATATGTACCGGAGGAAGACGATGGTTGACGAGGAAGACGATGGTTGACTTGAGGAATGAAAAGGGGTTATTTCAGAAAAGGAATGGAACCCGCCTGCGCGAGGACATTGCCACAGCGAGGGATGCTCTGCAACTTCTTCCACAAGGATCCCATTCTGTCCATCGGAGTCATGACGAGTCGCTCCTTCCGGTCCAAATGGTCGTTTGCGATTGCGATTCCATTCACCCCCCCCCCCCGTGCGACTAGTTGGAGCCGGCGATAATCGTTAGCAACTCCAGTGGCGATGATAACCGAGCCAAACTTGCCTTGAATTGCTCCCCAGAACCCGTCAGTCGGTGATAAACGCCATGGATTTGGTATAGGTGGAAGTGATCACATTTTTACCGATTCTAACATGTGTAAATTATTTGGTGAAGTTAAGGTTGTCCAACTCTTGATCATTTCTCTGGTATTTACGCTGGTTTCTGTGGAAAAAGAATGCAATGGCGAACCTGGAATAGCTTTTCAAGAAAATAATAAATGGTCCTAAACGTGATGTAAAGTTTGATATAATCCAATGCTTGTTTTGACTGCTGACGTGATGAAGATCTTCAGCTTAACTAGAAAGAAACTGAACGAATTCATAAATCTTCAAATTCATATTAAAAGTGGGACGCAGACGACCTTATCGTCATTAATAAGCAAAGATTTCCCTTGACTCTGGCCTTGAAAACCGTCCCGATACAACTTTATTTTCACATTGATTTTTATTGTTGTGTGCCCATTTCTGGTTAAACTACGTTCCTTGGGGAACTCTTGATGAATTCGAATCATTACTTCTCATTCCATTCACATCTTATATATATGTGTGTGCGTGTGTGTGTGTGCATGTACGCGAGCGGGATTTGTTGGCCCATCAGCCACTGAACATAGTCGTCTCTGATATTGAACCTCCATAAGTGCTCACACCTCCAGCAGGCTCGCATCACTCAAGAGTCGAGGAGACCCATTTTGACTGCTCTGGCTCGACGCTTCGTTAGTCTAGTACAAAAGGGGTTTTGACCGACTTTATCAAATCTCGGAAGTCTCTGTTAATAGCATGTGTGTTTTCAATGCATGTCTTGGTTGAGCCACAATAAACGAGAAATAGTATTCAATCTTTTTAATCTTTCCCTGGCATACCCCCCCCCCCGGCAATCCTATGTCCGGTGCTGCCTTGGGGGCGGGGCTTAGGAGACGGAAACTGGGACCCAATGTTGGGGGTCATCCCTGTCTTGGGCCTCAGCACTCGACTCAACTGATTGTTCACGGTCTTTTCCTCTTCCCCTTTTCGTTTCCTTTTCTTCACTTCCCATGGTGTGAGCGTCGTGTTGAAAGGACAAGAGGTTGAGTTTGTGCCAGTCATGAACGGCCTGGGGGAGCCATGGGCACGGTATTCGTTTCTTTATCTAGCCTTTATACCTCGAAGGGACCTAACTTACTCTAGGCTTACCATGGCCAATGATGATTTTATTTTTAACATTATTAGGGGCATTAACGCTTGCCCATTTATCAAATAGCCCGATTTCAATTCTCCCGGTTTCCCGACCCCAAGCTCTCCTTTGACCACGACTCTGAACACTGCTACTACTACCCCTACCCTAATGCCCACTATCACACCAGTCCAGTCCAAATTATCTATCCAGATCAGTACCAAATCTCAAGAAACAGTCCACCCCCACACTTCCTTCATCAACCAGCCTATCCTCCTTATTACTAACCTGCAGCCTCATTGCCCACCTCTCCCCGAACCTCTCTCAACACTTCTCCCTCTTCCACACGTCCCGTCCTTTTTACTTCCCCAGCCTCTAAGGACATCTTGAACACACTGTCGAGCCCAGCCGAATGGGATCGATTTTCTTGTCGTATTTCCCCCATGCAGCCCCTTACTCTGACCGCACTCCCCTTCTTCCAGCAATGGCTCCAAAAACAAGTGGTTTCAGAGGGGAAAGGGGGAAGAGAAAGATGGGGAGGGGTAAGGAGGTAGACAAGCGGAAAGAAAGGAAATAAACACGAAGAAAAAAAAAATCCCCACGCAAGTAATCACTGGATTTGCCACTTGAGCAAATACGGAAAATTTGTAAAGAGTAACGACGGCAGATACCAATTCTCTCAGATATATATCA